GAGAAGAGCAATAAGCACCACACATCAGCAGGAAACACAGAAACAAAAAAAAGAAAAAAAAAATCCGTTAAAAAAAAAAGGCCCCCGCAGAAAAATGGGAATACTTTGAGTAGCACTCTCTGACTTGAGGTGCGCACCTAAGTTCGAGATGTCTGCTTCTGGCTTGTCATCGTCACTGGGCGCATCGATGAATTGGTAGACTTTGCCATCCAGGCCCACACGTGCTTTGTTCCCACTTGCTCTGTCCCTCTGCTCCTGTTGCAAATCTCTTTTCCGAAAACTTCCAGCGGGAGCTTCAGGGTTCACCTCCAGGATGCAGCTTTGCATTTGACCTGCAACTCACACTAAGACAGCCCCGACCTCATGGTCAGAATCCTCACGGTATGCCAGTGATTCCAAGCTTTCCTTGAAAAGACCAGCCTGCAAGAATCAGGGGAGCGCCGCCGGTGCAGAAAGCGATTTATCAAGCGCCTTGCCCTTCGCTTGGATGTGCACCCCAGAAGTCTTGGAGGCTTTGGAGGCTTTGGAGGCTTTCGGCGAGTCTGCGTACTCACCGAGCGCTATGCCAGTGACCGCTCCGTGGGTTCGCCCATTATTTGACGTGCTAGACGTAGCTGAACCCTTTTTGCCAAAGTCTTCGGAGACGCCTCCCTCAATTTCTTGCTGAATTCGAAGAACAGCAAGCGCGGAGTCTGAAAGCTCATCATCGTCGCGTTCAGGTGAAGACATTTGAACCCTTCAGGAATTCATTTCCGGCTGCTTGCCTCGTCGCACTTTTGGGTTGCACTTGAACCACACAGCTGCAGGCTTTGCAACATCCATAGTGCAGCCGACTTGTCGCGTGGGCCTAAAAGGTCCGGACCTGTGCTACACAACGTCTTGCGGTACGAATGCTAGAGAAAGAGGCAGGGCGTCAATCATGTCAGAGCGTTCCCACTTGTGCAGTTCGGCATTGAGGTCCTCTAGTCCTGAACCTGATGCTCATCTGTATGGCAAATTCAAGAGACTGATAAACACAAATAAGCCGGATACTCAGAATGCGGGAATTGAAAGTGGACAGCTGAACATCCTGGACGTCAGACGACTCAGCGCTGCTTTAATTGGTGACACACACACAACTGTCAGAGGCTAAGACATGAACCGCTGAATTACCATCTGCTTGTGGCCTAGACCCTCAGACAGTACGTGCAACTGTGCGCGACGACTTGCTTGCGTCGAATATGCTGACGAATTATCGCAGTGCAGGCTGTGCCGGTTCGTTCTGAGCCGGTTGAACAAATCGTACACCAACTGCAACAAAAGCAAGCAAAGTGACGACTTGCTTATGGTTGGTAATTAGGCAGCTTTAGGTCATGCTATGTCAATCAAAATGCGAAATAATTACAGCTCGCTACCCTAGCCAGTAGCTTCTTGACTTAGCCTTCTGCAATATGGGAAACGCCATCTCGGCTGACAGGTTCCCCCTTTCCTCGAATGTGCGCAACTCGTATGAGCAGCTTTATATCCAGGAGCGCTCCAGCTGGCATGCTCCGGAAAACTCATTGATCTCAAGAGCACGATAGCGGGCTAGTGTAGGTGAGACCGAGAATGCAAAAATCATGTGGCAAAACACTGGGCCAAACACAACCCCGACCAGACTGATTGTTTGGGTTGAAGAAGCTTGAACTATGAAGATAATTTGAAGACATGCTGCTTCCTTCAGGTGAGCCTCAGGTGCTCATGATGAGGTGCATGCCAACGTGCCTGGTGCCCTGCCAATTGAAGCCCTAGAGAAACCGTCTAATGTCAGCAGTTGCGCTTCATGCACGCGACTGTCAACTGACATGGCCCCAAGGCGCCTTGGTCAGCTGATGCTGGCCTCTCTCTTTGGCACGCTCGCCGGCTCTGATCAACTCCCAATACAGTTCCAAGGGGATCGTTGTTGTCTTGTCAATGTGGACCTGGCAGACTGTCTGCGTTCCTCTGTGCAGATCCTTTACATTTACAGCAGCTGAGTTCCCCTTTTCCCATGGTACGCTCTCGCAATTTTCCCCGCAAGCCTCTCGACGGCTCTGCTTCTGAAGCAACGTCGGTGCCTTTGGGTCGGAGAGGCCTCAAAGCACTATTTACAACAATTTGAAATGTGTTGATGCATTCGGTGCGACAGTGTCATGCCATGAATCAAGCAGTGTGGAGGACCTGTCTTTGCCTTTGCAGGTGGAACTTGCTTGTCCACTGGTGTTTCCGCTGGAGCTCCATAACCAGCACACATGCACATGAACCTGACACGACATCCAAACTTCAGGGCAAGACGGTCTAAAGAGTTCCAGCACCCAACCTTGACAGAAAAGGTGCCAAGATCATGCTGGCAAGCAGTCAACTGACCTTCGGTACCCACCCGGCTTGATCCACAACCTGCAGGACGCAGTTCAATAGCTCTTGCCGTCGCAAAGCACCTTGACATGCTTTGACTGTTGTAGCAGGTGGCTTTGCCAAAGATGATGTTTGTTTGAACGCAACACGCCCCTTGGAAACTTCTCCCCATTTAAGGCGTTTTGCATCATGTCTGCTCAAAAGTGCAAGCAGCCTTGACAAACCTAAAGCATTGCAACCAGAGGCTTCCCAATTTAAAACCCAAAGCGGAACTCCTCCCACACCAAGGGCCGAAGAGACGCATACCGCAAGATGGTGCGCTTGGCTTGTCAACAAGCACTTCCCAACAGTGACTTCTTTGGCTGTCTGCCAAGCCCCACACCGTCAGGCCTCAAAAAGGTTTCTGCACTTTTGGTACTTTTGCTCCACATTTCTTCGCTGTCACTGCCTCACTTGTTCTTGGACCCAGGTGTCGGGTCCTTCAGTGCAAATTCACCATCAGCGAGACGAGACCATGTCTTGCTGCCTGCTGCGGTTTCGGGAATCTTCGTGGCGGAGATAACGTTGCCATCCTTATCGCTCCAAGCTATCCTGTTGCCCTTCTCAAACTCAACCTCAATGTTTGGGAGAGAGGCATCCGATAAGCCGCCAGGCTTGGCACAGACCACAAGCATTGCTGCTGGCTCTATCGCCTGGCTTGTGTCAAATGCAACATCATACTGAACATTAGAGCCGGGATTTTGTGGATCCGGCTTCTCCACTGACAAAGTCCACCCCTTGATGTCCTTGGTCACATGTCCAGCATTGTAGAGCTCAAGCCAGTCTGAACCTTCACAAGTGCCAGCTACTCCGTTGAATGCCACTTCGTTGAGCACGATGTTGAGCTTGTTGGAATGGACATTGCATTTATCAAAATAATCCCAGCAGCAGTCTCCATGAGTCTCACACTCTGCATTGCACTGGCAGAGCTGGTTCTTCACGTACTTTGAGCTGCAGCCATAATTCTGACATGTAGGCTCCGCGTAACCGCAGCATGAAGCCGAACAGTCTGCAAAGCCGGCATTGCTTGGTAGACCCAGGTAGTGTGTGTTCTCAAAGCTCTTGGTGCCAGGAATCATGGATGCTTTGCTAGCTGCCGCACAGGCACCTCTCTGATCAGCTGGCATTGGAGTTTTGGAATTGGGATAATATGTGATCTCCAGGCCAGTAACCTCTGAACTGGCAGCATAGTCGGCTTCCAGGCAACGATTTATCTTTGCATTCAAATCCGACTGTCGAAAGACACGGATCATGCAAAGGATCTTCAAAGTTCCCATCATTTCTGCTTGTTGCTCTGCTTCTTGAGTTTTGGTAAGTTTTTGCGCTTCCTCGTAGGAATGCCATTCTCTGTTGTAGCAGCCAGTGTAGCTCCTGCATGCAGTATTGTGGGTCAATATGTCACAGGCAGCATTTTCCAGCGCCTTCTGGAACTCAGCACAGTCCGTCTTCTGACCTGTCCATTTGGTTTCCTTGGAGTCGCAAAGAGCAGTCTGGACATTAGTCTCATTCTGCGCCTTGACAACGGAATCACGAGATGCTCGCCAGTCACTCAGCAAGGTGCCGAAGTGATTCTCAAAGTATTCCAAATATTCCTTCGGAGAAGTCCAAGAGGCCCCAGCTTGCTCAAAGTCGCAAGCATTGGGCTCTGGCAGGACATTCTTGCCCTTGGTACCGCTCGCTTCATCTCCGTGGAAATCCTTCTTGGCATCCGCAAGTGCAGCTGCTTTGTTTCCCTGAATGATTCTGCATGCATCGAGGCCTGTTTTTTGCATGCCCTCCTCGACTCGACATGTCTTGTGGGAATTTTCAAGGGCAGTCAAGTCTTCGAATCCTGATGGGCCTCCGAAATCGAAGCTGCAGGCTGTGAAGGTTCCCCAAGAATTGTCTAAGGTCTGTTGAGTTAGATTGTTTTGGCTACGAATGGTGTCTTGCATGGAGAAGAGCAAAGGCTCAATGCTCTTCGCGAAGTCAGCAGTTGTAACCGCACTGCTGTTGCTCGCTTCCTGGCCCATCTTTACGAGGGTTGTCTGTATTGCCTGGAGACTCAGCGGGATGCTCATCTTCCCATCCTGAAGAATCTGCTGCAACTCGCTGGCAGCAGATGATGAAGCCTGTGAGCTCACACGATGGGTGGAGAGCCTTCTGCTCTGATCACTCACAACACCAAGAGGCGCAAGGAACGTTAATGTGGCAAATCTCATCCCCCAGATGTGCTTCATTTTGGCAGGAACACAAGCCCGCCCAGACAAGCTAGCTTGAATTGAGCTAAGCTCCTGCAGCATGCTAAGAGATCACCTTTCACTTTGAGCACAACTCACGTTCACAGCAGGTCGGCGGCCCCTATCATTTGCCGAAACAACGAAAATCGTGATGCTGGACATTAACAGGGGAACCGATTCCCCTAAAGCTCAACCCTTGTGGATGAGCTCGTGACACATTATTCCATGAGCACAGATCAAGCCATTTAGCTTGCAGTGATGATTCGTTAACCACCATCCTCAGAATGGAAATCTTGCTTGCCAGCAGAGCCTCGATTTTTCACTGCTTCAAGCAAGGCTTCAGAAAAGGGGATGCGCAGGTATTAAGTTCCAGCATGGGGCCAGCATCACTGACCGATCTTGCATCTGCCACATCCATATCCTCCTGTCTATGCAAGGAAAAGAAGTGAATATGAATGCTCATTTCAGGAAAACCTTCGCTCACTGAGGTAGGAGCCATGTCAGGAGGAGGAGGAGGAGGAGGCCTCAGAACATACCGCTCTACGTGCGC